AACATGAATGAGACTATGACCCTGTCTTCAGGAACTGTATAGTCTGGAACTACCTAATATCTTCCTCTGTAAAATCAAATGCAAATAATTTAATTTACATACTAGAAATTTCATTATTTTTTGACTAACAATTTTCCCAATTCAGTCATTGCTGACAACTCTTAAATATCATTCAGGACAAACTAATTTCCTTGTAGAAAGGAAGAAAGAGAATTTAGTTGGAGCTAAAGGATACTCATATTAAAATGGCTTTTTAAAGTAAAAGGAAAATAATTCTAAGACCTCAGGGCACTTTTTTTATATATAAGAACAATGACAAGATACTGATGATGAAGTGATAAAGTTGAAGAATATCAGGTTATGCCTATCTTCATAGTCAGGTTTTAAAACTAGTTACTTTGGCACCATCCTAAGTGCCAAAGGCCAGCAGGGGTTTGAGTACCAGCCTTTTAGATTTCTCCTAAGGATTCTGTTCTAGTGAGACTCTTATTAATTAGCATACTTTAATTTTTAAGCAATATAAAACCAACTTAAAATACATAAATATAAAAAGAAAAGAAAGTGAAGTCGCTCAGTCGTGTCTGACTTTTTGTGACCCCATGGACCATAGCCTGCCAGGCTCCTCCATCCATGGGATTTTCCAGGCAAGACTACTGGAATGCATTCTTTATACATAAGAATATTCTTTATATAGGTATTCTTTACATGTATAAATGTATTCTTTATACATAAGAAACTTTATACATAAGTTTATACATAAACTATAAAGGGAATTTATTGGCCCATAACTAAAAAGTCTAAAGGTAATAATTTCAGTTATAGCTTGATCTAACTGCTAAAAAATGTCCCCCAAATGATCTTTTTACTATCAATTCTTATCTCTACTTTCTCACTAGTGACTCCACTCTAAGACACAGTTCTCCCTTCGTGGTCCATGGGGGCTGTTAGCAGCTCTGAGAGACAATAGCTTCCAAATTTAAGCACAGAGGGGAAAAAAGAATGTACTTCCTGATATCTCAGAGAAAAATTCTGGAGTAGAGTCTCATTGGCACTGGTTGTCTTGATTTGAAACATATGTCTATTCTAGAACTAATCACTTTGCTGGGGGGTGGGGTGGGGTGAGGGTGTATAGCAATAAGCAGATTAGTATTAGTTGGTATTAGTCATTTTCACACAACTGTGCTGGCTGGGAAGGTTATCAGTTGGAAGGGGGTCTAGGAATTGGATTCTGGAGAAGGGGACTAACACATGTATGCTGCAGTCACTAAACACTTTCTGGAATCTGAGACCAGGAAGAACAGAAAGGCATTTCTTCAAACTATTTAAATAAAGCTGACCTGTGGGTACCACACTCTGGGTTTACTTTCATGCATCTATCTCTCCTCAGATTTGGCAATTCAGCAGCCTCTTCTCCAAAATCAAGAGCTGGGAGTTTAATGAAGTTGCCTCCATGTCTGAGCACCTGAAATCCTGTCCCTTCAATGTTGTAGAACACAAGACTGACCCGATTCTTTTGACCAGCATGCGTCAGTCCCATGAACAGGCCCGAGAGACCTTAGTCACCACCTTTAGAGCCAGACCACGAGGAAGACACACCTTACACTAAAGACTCAGAAGCCACCGTTCTTGGATTCCTATTCAGAGTTACTGAAGTTGGACAGAGTGTGATTTTGAGAACTTTCTTCTACAAATTGCAAATGTTATCTAGGTGTTTTTGAACATGCAATGTCCTTCAAAACCTGAGTAGCAGCATAAGGTGGAAAAATTACCTAAGCCATGGCTTGTATAATTGCTATAGCACCATACTGATAACTAATAGCCTCCCTCCCCGTACTTATTTTTTCTAAAATAAATCCATCTGCGGAGTAAATAGGTAACTTGAGGCCATTTAGAAGATGAGCCCAAGACCTTAGGAGATGAGAGAGCAGTGAAATTCCATAACCAGCATAGGCCTGTGCTTTTGTGGAGAACTTTTTAGTTTATGAGCGCCTTCAACGATATGGGGCAGATAGGAAGAGGGACTGAGATGCCTCCCAGGGCACCCAGGGTAAAAAGCACAGTCTGAAGTTTCTGGAGCTGGAGTTGCCTTGACAGCCAAGTCCAGGGCTTCTTTTAATTACCTCACTGTCTCTAAGCCCAGACAGTTCAAACAGTCCAACAGAACAGAGACCTAGGCTAAGCACAGCAGCCTCAGGGACACCTAAGGTTGAACAGTAAGAGGCAGAAATAAGGTCACAGAATGAGGTGGTTGTGTAGAATCTTGGCAACATATAGAAGGACAGCCTTGAAAAAATGAGAGGAATCCAGAGGAGATACTATATGTATGAAGAAAATTAGGACAAAAATCACAGACTGCTTTTGAACATTTTAATAGCGACTTAAGATTCAAGTTTCTTTTCCTCTGAAAATTGTATGCTCGGGCTGGATCAGGGAGAGCCCAGGTATGGGCCAGCACCACCCTGGGCTATGTGAAATGATCACAAGACACTAACCCCAACTTCCGTGTCATGCCAGAAGGCAAAGGGTAGCCCAAGGAGACCACGCGTATGGAAAAGTCAGGCCCACTGTAGGTCCTGTGGTACCAGTCCCTAGGTCCTAGACACCACTTGAGTATACCATGGGGAATCTTGAGAAGGAAGACATCTGAACATAGTGATTCCCTTTAATTGCTCTTACCTCTTGCTTGGCATGACTTCATTCTGTGAAAAATGGGTGATACTTCTGATTTTTGGTAACAAACAGTCAAAACTTATGAGAACAAAAGTTAAATAAAAATACACAAGAGAAACTGGCATCCCCAAAGCAGGGTTTTGTGGAACTATTGACATTTTACACTGGATAATTCTTTGTCATAAGGGACTGTCCTGTGTGTTAGAGGATGTTTAGTGACATCCTTGGCCTCTATTCAATAATACCAGTAGCTCCCCTACTGCTTTAACAACCAAAAATGTCTCTGGAAATATCCTCTGGGAGCAAAATCACTCCTGGTTGAGAACCACTGCCCTAATGAATGACATGCCAATAGCAGTAAGTCAGGTAAGCTTTTTAGTACAGCAAATTCTGACCTCACATAACCATCTATAGTAGTCATGATTTCATGTAGCTCTTTGTTTACCAAATAGATTTTAGATACATGATGATTTTAAGTTGGGAACCAAATGGAGCTAAGTTTGTTTGATGTGGCTTCATGTCCTTGGGTCATGTGCAAAAAATATATCCTATCAGGTCTCCAGGCATAGCTGAAGCCAGGATGGTTGAACTGCTTATCCCGTGTATATATCCCTCTCACCTTAACTGATACCATTTTCCTAGCAATTGTCAGCAAGCAAGACAGAGGGAAAAGGAGGATGGGTACTGTGGAGAAGCAGAGAACAAAGAATTTAACCACCAACAATAAGAGTCTAGTCGATATGAAGGCATGAGAGCAAGTGCCAGAGTAGAAGTACCCTCATCTTTCATTTTAACGTGCCACTTGGTACTAGTCAGTAATGTAACTCTACTTTTCCTAATCCTTATTGTTTGGTTTATATTTCACATTTGTATATAACGTGCCATTTTCTAAAAAATATAACTAGAGTGTGAGCTAAGGTTTTATTCAGTGAAAGTAAGTAATTGCAACAACTAAACAATAAAGTGGGGAAAAAAAGGAAGAGTTCTCCAGGGATCAGTTCCACATTTTTGGAATCTAGTCCTTCCTATATGAAGAAAGAAAGCTCTGAAAATCCATTTTGGGGGTTTATTTTATTAGAAAAAGAAAGCAAGGGGAGTTGTAGACTAAGGGAGATGAAAATCTGGGGCTACTGTGAGCCAGATGAGAAGTATAGAGAAAGAGAGCAGAGGGCTCTTCCTTGACAGTCTGGGCAGCCTGGGGTTCAGGAGGGCAGTCAGAAGAGTGACTGCACCTCTTTGTGGGCCCCACCATTCTAGGCACACTTTACTTTCCCAGTTTCTATCTAAAGCGCAACATTGAGTGGATCAACACCATCAAACACACTTTATAAGGCATCAAATTATATATGTAGCAGGAAATCAGAGTAAGACAGGTATCCACTGGCCTATACAAAAACGCACATTTTATGGTGAGAGGGCAGTTGGAGAAAAAGGAAAGACTTTTACAGAAACAGTGAAGTGATTAATGGGATGAAGCTACAGTGAGCAGCATGAACAGCAAGCATTATCTGACAAAAGCAAGATAGCTAGAAATGGCTTCAGCTTAAGAATCAGCTAAGGAGAGTGAAAGGGGACTGTGGACTCAAGAATAGGAACTTGGATGGGGGAGATGTCTGTGGGCAGAGCCCTTGAAGAGTACCACACCAAGAAATCCAGTCCAAAGTAGGGATTGCTGTATGTGGAGGGTAAGATTTGTGGAACCCATGCAGAAAGGATTATTGCCTTAAGGACCTGGAAATGAAGCTTTTGTCTTATAATGAAGGAAAAAGTGAAAATCAAGGTGGAATTTGGATGTAAGAAGAAAATCGCTGCCAAAGTATGATCTATGTGTGATGTCTAATTAAACTGAAGCAAAGAATGAGATTGTATATATTAGTGTGACTTACCTCTATACCCTGGAAACCCCAATAACTCTACAGGCAAATATAAAGGCTGTTTTGTACTCTGAAAGTCTAACTGGATGACTCCTGCAAGTGAGGTGTAGAGACAGATGTGTCTCACTGGCACAGAGGTCACTGTGGCAACAACGGAGTGTGTGTCTTGAAGAAAAGCCAAGGAATGAGCCTGACAGATACAGCGCTCTAAGCACATGGGCAGCTTACCAGTGAACTGTAAGGATTTTCATGAAGCCTTGCCGCAACTATGGGTCTCAGCCACCAATCCTAGCTTTTCCTTGATCCCACTGTCTTCTCCATCTTTGAAAGCTGAACCCAAGTTTAGATATTGGTTATAGCACGGACTTTAGACTCTACCATCTGAGCCACCAGAAAAGCCCCCATTTTCTACCAACCCTATACCAAATCCTGACTTTCATTTTGATTTGATTTTGTTTTGCCTAGGGGCTCCTATTCTGGATCTTGCCAATCCCAATGGCTTGAGGTTAGATAAACTCACTGCATCCTGATCTCATCCCCATACTTTGCTTGATGACTTGTTTTTTGCTTATCACTGGCTGTCCAAAGGTCCTCACTTCTTCTATCAGCCTCAGCCCTGTACCACAGAGAAACTTCATGTACCACAGAGAAACTCAGTCTATCTTCTTACACAGTCACTGAATTCATTCATCCAGCTACAGGGAAGCCTAGACTTTCTTTAGTAGAGGCCACTATCTTTGACTCCAAACCCTTTTATCATCTCATTGTTTCCTTTTGCGCCTAGTTGCTCAGTCATGTCTGACTCTTTGCAACCCCAAGGACTGTAGCCTGCCAGGCTCTTCTGTCCATGGGGATTCTCTAGGCAAGAATACTGGAATGGGTTGCCATGCCCTCCTCCAAGGGATCTTCCCAGCCCAAGGATCGAACCTAGGCCTCCACAGTGCAGGCAGATTCTTTACCGTCTGACCCACCAGGGAAGTCCAAGAATACTGGAGTGGGTAGCCTATCCCTTCTGCAGGGGATCTTCCTGACCCAGGAATCAAACCGGGATCTCCTGCATTGCAATAGTTTATTTACCAGCTGAGCTACCAGGGAAGTCCAATTGTTCCTTTTTAGTTTTAATCTTTTGTTCTTGTTCTTGGCCAAATCTTTTCCTCCTTCCTTTCCCCTAATTTCTGCTTCTGCCTCAGGCATCATCGTGCACTAAAGAAATATAGTCATTACTCCCAGGTGGAAGGTGGCTGACCTCTCACAACTGCAGAAGCCAGTAGAATTTGAACTGCTTAATGTAGACCCTTCCTGGCCTGTTTCCCAACCTAACTGCCATTCTCCAGGCCCATCTGTTTTTGGACTGGATATCAGTATAGTCTAAGGAAAAGGCATGGCCCTTGACACCAGGGTACAGAGTGATGGGCAGTGGTTGGAAGGATTTTTCTGAATATGCGAAAGAGGGAAGGAAAATTCCCTCTACCTGTAATGAGAGTTAGGGTCATTGAGGGCCGTGTAAAAGTACTATTTACCTCAGAATAGAGGTTAGCCATGGTCCCACTTTATTTCCAATTTAGGACTGATCAGAGAGAAGAGTCAGAGATATCTCTGCAGAGAAGGAAACTGAGAAAACAACACACCTAGGAAAACTAGGAAATATAGACATACCTTGCCATGCAGATGGACCAGGAAGCTCAGCACTCGCAAAGGAAACTAGAGTTAGGGGTATGGGTTAGAGGGGGCACTCATGAGGAAGGGAGCGGGACCACAAGACAAACATCCCTGAGATCATCCTGGGTATCCAGGATAAAGAAGACCTCAAGGGGAAGGAGACCCCCTTCTTCGTGCTGCCGCTGCTCCCTACCCTAATGGAGAGGGAGAGGGAAGTCTGTCTAGAACTTCAGGCAACTCATGACATTCTGTCAGACACTTGCAGCAGAAATGGAGAGCATCTGGAGGCAGAGCCACTGGGGACATGCGAAGTTACAGTGCAGAAAGAAGACAGGAACAGTTACTGGAGGAGCTTGACATAATTTGCAGGGAAGAGTCCAAAGTGGCCATGGCAACGTCCCCGCCACCATCCCTCGTCCACCATCTCAATGTCAGTGATGACATCATCTGGGTCAAAGGAAATCTCATCACTTCCCTCTGGGGAGAAAATTGACAGATTATTAGGATCGTCAGGCAAGAATCCCTCCACCCCTGTGCCCCCTCTTTAAACCTCAGGAAGGGAAAGAGGCCTGCCCTTGATGCCAAGTCTGGGGCCCTATTCTGACCCACACAATCCACCCACCTCTCATGTATCAAGGGGCTCCAGACATCAGACCCCTCAGACCACTCCCAACCTACCTCCTTGGTAATCATACAGGGCTACAGCTGAGATCCCAGCTCCAGCCCCAGCTGGGTGGCCTGATGATCCTGCACAGTGAGAAATATGAACATGGTCTTACCAACATGGAGAAGGAAAACAGACCAGTCCTTCCATGTACTGGGGGAATTCTTCTGCCCCACCACTCACCAGCCAAAGTGGAGGAAAAAGAGGGATCCTCAGGCTCAAGCACATCCTCATAGTCCGCCTCTGCTTCCTCATCCTGCTCATGTCTGTCTATCTCCTCAATATCCTCATAGTCATTCTCAGGCTCAGGTTCAGGCTCAGGCTCGGGCTCAGGTGCTGCTTCATACACTGGCTCTTCCTGCAGCTGGAAGACTTCTGGAGTCCTGGGGGGCAGAGCTGGGGCCTCCTCATTGTCCTGAGAAGAGACAGTATGAAGCAAGGTGACTTCTGTTCACCAGGAGCCGCCTCTCCAAAACCTCCCAATGGAGGACTGCTAAGACCCTTCCATCCACATGCTTCCACTTCCAGGTCCATTTCTGGCTCCTTCTAACACAGTCTCCTAGGGAACACAGTCTCTCACCCCTCTTCCTTCTTCAACCTCCTCCCATATCCATCCACTCAAAACACCTACCAACAGGTGATATTAATAGAAGGGGAATGTAAAAGGTATAAGGAGAAATAAATGGCAAATGAGTTAGATTCCTTGGAAGACCAGGAAAACACTGAAGCAAAATCTAAAAGGAGAAAAGATGACAGATAGGATGACTAACTGTCCTAGTCTGCTCAGGACTGGGTGATTTCCCAGAATATAAGACTTCCAGTGCTAAGGTTAGGATAGCCCCAGGCAAACCAGGGTGTTTGATCAGCCTGCAGGGCTGTGTCCACCTACTAGGACATGAGGAGATGGGAAAGGTGCAGATCTTTGGGGGGCAGTCTGCTTACCTCTGGGGGATCCTGCCTTGGGGGCAGGGCAGGTACCGGTTGTTCCCTACTGGTTCTCACAGGCTCAGGCTCTGATGATGGACAACTCCCTGCCGGAGGCCAGGCCTGTGAAGGATGAAGCATCTCTTCAGTGAGCAAGAAATTTTATCTTCTCTCCTGTACTAGAATACCCCTTCCTGTCTCTGCCAATTCACATCTATCATTTCTCAAGATGGACTCCAACCTGAAATGACAGCTCCTTCCTCTTGTTCTTGCAGCAGTAACTGACTGCACTGCCTGGTGACCTATCTTCTGTTGAACTATGTAAATCTTGGGGTTTTTTTCACTGAGCATTCTTATATGTATATATGAAGCTTAATTACACAATTAGATTGAAATCTTCCAAAGACAAGGATAACAACTATAGATTTTGCTAAAACAGGGGAGTCCTGGGTCTTACTTTTTACTAAGGATACAGACCCCTTAGGCTCCTATCTGGGCAAAGAATGCCGGATGTGGATCCTGGAGGGCCAAGCACTTACCTCTGAGGAGATTTTCTTAGGCAATGGGGCTGGCACCACTGGCTCTTCCCTAGTGGCCACTGGGTGTTGAGCCTCGTGGCTCATCTTTACCAAGGCCTTTCTCTCCTGTTGCTGTCTGGCCATCTGTTGTGCCTTCTCCTCTTCCTCCCGCTTCCTCTTCTCCTCTGCCATGGACTCAAATTTTGCCTTCAGCCCACGGGCCCCACTAGAAGCTACAGACACAGTCAAGAAAAATTAGGGTTGTCTTGGGCTGGAGGTAGAAGAGTAGCACTGGAAAGAAGAGGAGTCAGTTAAATGTCCAGAAGAAGAGAAAATCGAGAAGGAACTCATGGAAAGGGAGATAAAGAGGTATTAACGAAGGACCAAGGGGCTTAGAGGAGGATAAGGTAGCCGTGAAGCTTGGATTTTCACATAGCCAGACCATATGATCTCAGACTCTTACTCCTTCTAAGGCTTGGTCCCCTAACCTGTATCCTTCCTTGTCCACATTTCTTAAATCTATATGCCCTCAGGCCACCATCTACCCACAGTTGCCATCCAAAGCTCCTTTCCCTTTGTGTTCTTCCCAAATGGCTCCCCCACCCCGTGTTCTCTACATACAGTTTCTTCCCTAGTGTCACTCAGATATCCACCTAACCTAATTTTTTCTAGGAGAGAGAATCTGGGAATATGAGGATAGGGGTCAAGTCTACATCAGCTAACCTAGGTAGTTAAATGCTTGGAGCAGGTAGTCCAGGAAGAAAAAAAGAATGAGAAGGCAGAGGAGATTGAGAGCACAGAGAGAGGGAATTATAACTCACCAGCCTCTATGGGTGTCGTCTTCTTGTAAGCTGTGGTTGGGGCCTCCATTTCATTGAAGCCAACAGCACTCTGCAGGTAGAAGAATAGTATGTGTAGTGGTGGGGAGAGGGAAGGGAGTGGTAATGACCCAGAAGTCAGTATCAGGGATTGGGGCCACTAAAGGAGGTCTCCCTAAACTTTTGATGCTCAGTAGTAGTTAGACAGGGTATTCAAATACTGTTATTTTGCATCAGAGAGATGGGTAAAGAAGTTCTAGGCTTGTAGGACTAGCTCTCCCTTTAAAAAAGCTCAGTGTTCCTGGAATCTCACATCTTTTAAGTCCAGTTGCCTGGAATACAGGAGTGTATGAACTACATGCAGTACTTGAAGAGGTGGAGGGAAAGACTGAATGGAGTGGGGCTAGATTATTGACTGAGTTAATCAATACCAAGCAATCAATGAAATTTTTAACACTTTTCCCTGGAGTTTGTCTGTATCCCTGTCTCTCTCTGCCTCCTCACCCTCCTTGATAAAGCTCAGGCTTCGGAAGACATACCCATTAGATGCTGAGGGCAGTCAATGGGAAGAGCAGGAGGACAGTGCAGCACACCTAGCTTTGCTCATCCTTTTACCCACTTTGCCTCTCACTCTTCTCCACATACTTCAGGGAACTCTTCCCAAGACATTGGTGTTCCGGTGCTTTACCTTATCCACACGGTCCTTTTGGATGCCATACTGCCCACCAAAGCCCTTGGCATAATCTGCAGGGTGGAAAGGTCTGAGAGTCACAAGAGGAGTTAAATGCTAGAAATGTATGGGAAGAGGGAGTAGGAGCAGTGGGAAGGAGGGCCAGAAGACAGGAATGAGGAAAACAGAGAGATCGATGAGGAAGTGTGAAATTCAGGAGAGAGAGAGAGGAATGGGTGGGAAAAGATGAAAAAGGATGGGGGAAAAAACACCTGGGAGAGAATGGAGATATAAGACATGGGAAGAGAGAAATGAAAAAGAGAGAAGTGGCAGAAAAGGGGAAAATATAAAGGAATAAACAGGAAAAATTAAAGTGAGAAGTTGCTGTATAGCACAGGGAGCCCAGGCACTCTGTGATAACCTGGAGGGATGGGATGAGGGGAGGGGAGGGAGGGGATGTATGGATAATTATGGCTGATTTGCATTGTTGTATGGCAGAAACCAGCATAATATTGTAAAAAAAAAATTTTAATTTAAATTTAAAAAAATAGAAAAAAAATTAAAGTGAGCCCCCTCCCCCAGCCATCCCCTATGTGTCCCAGGGAAGAAGGCTCTCTCTGTGAAGTAGAGGGGCCTCTAAGACTCACAGCCAAATCACACTCTTGCCATCACCCAACCCATCTGTCTTCATCCATTCCTCAATGACCCCTTCTCTTTGGTCACCTTCCTGTGTCCTGCTCCTAAGCTTGCTGTTCTCCTCTCCATCCCTGTGGGTCTTCCCCCAACCTACCCCCATACATGTAACACATACTCTTCACCCTGCCACTTCCTGCATACCTCGTATTCTGGGTCCTCTGTGTCAACTTTCAGGACGTATAGAAGGAGGGCTCCACATATCCTATGGCCTCCCTCCTCTCCAGCCCCAACTCACCTCTCTGGGATTCATGTTTCTCTGTCTCTCCCTTGTAGTCATATCCGAGAGCTGCCTTGTCCCGTTTATCCTTCTCTATGCCATAACGGCCACCAAAGCCACGAGAGTAATCTACGGTGGAAGGAGCAGTTGTGAGAGCCCACTCTCAGTACATGGGAAAGTGTGTGGAAGAGGAGTCAGGAGGGGTGGGTGCAGGACGATGGGGCTTGGGAAGACAGCAGGGCCCGAATCAAAGAGAAATGGAGTTCTAAGCCATCCTTCATAAATTTTAATTCAACAATGTTCACTCTTCCTTACTTCCATTCAAAGATAGAAGATTATTTCAATTTTTTCCCTTCTTCAAAGAAGGAGAAAATACAGAGTGTAAGGAGAGACATCTAGAAGAAAAAGACAGATGCACGTGAACTACATGCCTTTCCCTAATTCTATGCAAACACTTAGTAATTTGAGAAAGAAATAATGACCTTTAAAAAAAAAAATAGTGAATCTCAAAAGAAAACAAGAAAAAATTCCTGGCTCCAGAAACAAACAGATGAGTCAAAATAGTAGATATAATCATAATTATGAGCTGACCAGAAAACCCAAGCTGTTTTCAGTCACAAATTTAGTACCTGGGGAATAGGATGTAGGGTCTGAGGTTCTAGTTTCTATACAAGAACAGGTCGCTGGAGCAAAAAAGTAAGGCTCTGCCCACTTCTATAAAGTAATTCTAGAAAAAGCCTACTACTTGTCCAGGGAAATGGTAAGAGGAACTCTAGTTTTTTAGCATTTGGAGAAGATTTTACCTATGAGATTTGTAAGCTCCAAGCCTGCACCTGAATGTGTGAGATACAAATATCCAGTTTCATACTACTTATATTATATAGAAATTCTAAGCTGAGAAATTAATTGAATACTGATATAGGAAAACATATACCACAGAAAGAGTAAGCATCAGAAAGATGACATGAATATGAGACAAAGTGGACTTCAAGACAAAATGCATTATAAGAGACTTAACACAATGATAAAAGGGCAATTTGTCCTTTATCAGGATGAAATATGATGAATCAAAATGATCAGGATCAAAATTCATGAAACAAAGCAGAAAGATAAAGAGACAAATCTATGACCATAGTCAAAAATTTTAACACTCTTTTCTCATTATTAATAAAAAATTTAGACAAAAAGGATCTATTAGAGAAGTCCCAAAAAACATTATTAACAAGACCTAACTGACATTTATAGAATATTGCATCCCCAAATTTCATGATATACATTTTTTCTATGCACATATACCATCCACCAAGATAGACCATATACTTGTTCATATAAAAAGTTTCAGTACATTTTCAACAGATTGGAATATGAGATGTCATATTCTCTGATTATAATAGAATTAAACTAAAAGTTCATAACAATAAAATAAGAAGATTTCCCAAATACCTTTAAAATGAGCAATTATACTTTTAAATGACTCATGGAGCAGAGAAGAAATGAAAAGGAAATTAATATTTTGAACCGAATAAAAATTAAAATATATATAACATTGTGGAATGTAGCAAAAACAGGTGTTTCCCAGGTGGCACTAGTGGTAAAGAACCCGCCTGCCAATGCAGGAGACGTAAGAGACATTCAGTCCCTAGGTTGGGAAGATCCCCTGGAGAAGGGCATGGCAACCCACTCCAGTATTCTTGCCTAGAGAATCCTGAAGACAGAGAACCCTGACAGAGTATGGCCCATAGGGTTGCATAGAGTCAGACACGACTGAAGTGACTTAGCACACACACTTAAGTACCCATGAAGTAAGCAAAGGTTTAAAATCAATTTTCTAAGTTTCTACCTTAACAAGCAAGAACAAACTAAACCCACATTAAAATGAAAGAAAAAAAATACTGAAAAGCAGAATTCAATAAAATTTTAAAAACAAGTAAACAATGGAGAAAATGAGCAAAGTCAAAAGATGCTTCTTTGAAATTAATAATAAATAATAGTAAAGAACCTCTAGCAAAATAGTTAAAAAGAAAAAACTACAAATTAATAATATCAGTAGTAAAAGTGAACATGTCACTTATAGATCTTACAGAGGTTGAAAATAAATCAGGGAATACTATAAATGAATTTATACCAATATATTTGAAAATATAGATAAAATGGAAAATGTCCTTGAAAAGCATACATTACCATAATAAGAAAAAAACCAGAAGACTGACTAGACCTATATCTATTTAAGAAATTGAATTCATAATGGAAAACAAAAATCATAAAGAGAACATGGTCTATTACTATTAAGACCCTGGAATGCAGCCAGAAATAAAGGCAGAATTTCTCTGATGGGAAATATTCTCAATCCAGGGCACATAAAACAAATATCCTTTTCTCCCCACTGAAATAAATTTGTGAAATTTAATAAATTATAAACTATCAAAGAAATAAATAACCATGATGGAAAATAGATTAGTTGAACAGAAAAATTGGCATTCCCAAGAGTTGCAAATAGTATGACAATGTGAAAGAAACTATAAAATGAGTATTTTAAAAATAACTAAAGCACTTAAAGAAGGGGAAAAATATAACGAAAGCAATACGAGATTAAGGAAAAGAAATCAGCAGATTTGCAATAGAATCAAAGGGAACTAGTACAAATGAAAAATAAATGAAATGAAGTTGAAAAATTAGTGGATGGCTTAAACAATAGTTAAATACAGCTGAAGGAGGAGTTCGAGAACTTAACATAGATCCAAGGAAATTACCCAGAATGCAAAACAGCAAGATAAAGAGATGAAAGTAGAGAACAGAAATTAAGAGACATCAAGAACAGAACTTATGGGTGGGGGGGCGGTCCCAAGATGACAGCGGAATAGGGCGGGGAGACCACTTTCTCCCCCCCCCCAAATTCATCAAAAGATCATTTGAATGCTGAGCAACTTCCACAAAACAACTTCTGAATGCTGACGGAGGTCATCAGGCGCCCAAAAAGGCAACCCATTCTCTTCAAAAGGAGATAAGACAAAATATAAAAGGCAAAAAGAGAGACAAAAGAGTTAGGGATGGAGACCTCTCCTGGGGAGGGAATAGTGAAGGAGGAGAAATTTCCAAACAGTAGGAAACCCTCTCACAGGTGGGTCTGTGGGGGGTTTGGAATTTCAGAGGGCAACATAACTGGGGGGAAAAAAACACACAACCCACAGAATAGGCGCCTAACCCTGCCAGCAGAGAAGTAGCCCAGACGTTCACATCTACCACCAGCAAGCAGGCACTGGACAGGGAAGTGCCGGTGGCATCCTCGGTTCTTAGAGTAAGAACTGGGCCTGAATGCCCTGAGGGCAATCTGAAGGAGCTAAAGTGAGATAGCAACTCAAACTGTGGGATTGCCGGAGAGAAAAAAAAAAAAAGAGAGAGAGAGAGAACTTCCCTGCAAAAGGTTCCAGCTAGTAGCCTGGCCCACTCACAGAATGAAGGATTGAGCAAATACCAAAGGAGAGCTAGCTGGCTGCATACAGACCCCTCGCAGCCCACACCCCCACCAGAGGCAGAGCGGCAGATGTGTGACGATCAGAGCTGGAAGGCAAGGAGCTGCTCCAATCTTGGCCCCAGAGATTGGCATCCTCCACCAAACTGTGAGCAGGCTCCCAGTTACTAACCATGTCTTCCTGGACAGTTGACATCTGCCAGGATGGTCACAGCCTGAGATCAGCTCCCCAGAGGAGACACACAGCACACCTGAGACAGTGCTCTTGCCCCACACCTTGGAAGCCGAGCGCCAAGGACCAGGGAGGTGATTAAGATGCACGGTCCACCTTGAACAGTGCGCTCGCCAAGTACCTGGTCTTCTGAGCTGCTCGGACCAGGAAAAGGCACAAAACTGCATGCCCAACCAAGTCTGTGCCCTTGCGGAGTACCTGAGAACCTGAACCTAAGTGTCTTAGAGCTGGAAAGTGCACAAAACCCAGGGCCTGCTTTGGACATTGCCCTGCAGGGCACCCTGCAGCCTGAGCAGTGTAGACCCAGAAAGCACAGGCTGCTGTGAGCTGGGGCAAACCCAGTGTGGTCCATACACTGCGAGCACTCCCCACACACGCCAGCAATATTTGTTTGTAGTTTTCCTCCCTCCCCACAACACAACTGAACAAGTGAGCCTAAATAAGAGACCACCTTTGCCCCCTGTGTCAGGGTGGAAATTAGACAATGAAGAGACTTGCAAACGGAGGAAGCCAACATAAACAAAGAAGAGGGAACCACTCTGGAAGTGACAGGTGCAACAGATTAAAAGCCTGTTGTTAACACTGATTAAGCATTGGAGGGGGCCTATAGACCTTGAGAACAAGTACAAGCTGGAACAAGGAACTATATGAAACTGAACTGGCCCCACACTGCCCACAACAGCTCCAGAGAAATTCCTAGATATATTTTTACTATTATCACTTTTTAATTTTTTTTAAATTTAAGTTCTTTATTACTCCTTTAATTTTCATTTTTATAATCTACTATTACCTTGCAAAAAACAGATCCTATTTTTAAAGCAAATTTCATATATATATATTTAATAATTTTTATGATTGATTTTGTTTTTTATTTTTAATATTGTATTGTTGAGAGTCTAACCTCTACTCTAGATTTTTAATCTTTGATCTTTGGTATTTGTTATCAATTTTATACCTTTAAGAATCCAGTCTTCAGTATCCATTTTCACTTAGGGGTGTGATTACTGGCTTGATTGTTCTCTCCCCTTTTGACTCTCCCTTTTCTCTCCCAGGTCACCTCTATTGCCTCCCTCCCTCTTCTCTTCTCTACTTAACTCTGTGAATCTCTCTGGGTGTTCCAGGCTGTGGAGAACACATAGGGAACTGATTATTAGCTAGATTGGTCTCTTCCCTTTTGGCTGCCCCTTCTTCTCCTCCTCAGTTCAGTTCAGTTCAGTCGCTCAGTCATGTCCGACTCTTTGCAACCCCATGAATTGCAGCACACCAGCTAGTCACCTCTATCTCCCTCCTCCCTCTTCTCTTCTCTATGTAACTTTGTGAATATTTCTGGGTGTTCCAGACTGTGAGAACACATAGAGAATTGATTACTGACTAGATCGCTCTCTCCCATTTTGACTCGCCCTCTTCTCCTCCTGGTCACCTCTGTCT